CTCACTCACTCACTCACTCACTCACTCACTCACTCACTCACTCACTCACTCACTCTCTCTCTCACTCACTCACTCACTGACAGACTGACTGACTGACAGACTGACTGACTGACAGGCAGTTGGACTAACTGAATGACTAACTGACCGACTCACTAACCACCCGACCGACCGACTGACCGTCCGAATGACTGACTGAATGTTGGTCAGACCGAGGGAATAATTAACCGTGTGACTTCCTGCCTGCAATACTAACGAGCATGCTAACGACGACGGCCTTCGTCGTGGCTGCTGCTGCTGTTGTTGTCATGAGCTGTTAATCACAGGCGGCAGGCTACGTGAGAATGACTCGCCGGCACCGCAGTCTGGCTACTAAGGCCAAAACAAAATATAGGTGTGGTTACTGTTTCATGCTGAAAAAAAATAGGGTAGGTAGGTAGGGAAAACATTTTATTTAATTGAAACATTTTATTTACGAACCATGTCCGAAGGATGTGCGTTGTGCCTTTTGAAGCAAGAACTGTCCAATTCATTTTTTTATTTTTTACTTTAAAGTAAATTGACAATAAAATGTTTAGGGTCGCTGGGAATAAATAGGGTCGGTCGGGAAACGGTAACCACACCTATATTTTGTTTTGGCCCTAATCTACTAGCTGACGCATGTGTGCGGAGAATGGTGGATATTTTTCGCTAACGATCGCGTGACGTTGCAGAGTGTGCGTCGCGCGGATGATATGCGGTAGTTTCCTCACCGGTTACACTCGTGTTCTTACACCTGTCGCGCACGGTCGCACGGCTCCCCCCTCCCCCGCGCGGGGCCGCGTCGTTACCCCTCTCACACACGGATATTACTGACTTACCGCGTATCAATCACACTACATACAGCATGCCACGGCGCCACATGGTCGAATGTACCCAACGTATTAGCATGACGGCCCCATCTGGTGAGAGAATGTCGTACCAGCGTTTCTCGAGTAGTAGCATGGCGGCTCTATCTGTTGAGAGAATGTCGTACCAGCGTTGCTCGCATAGTAGCATGGTGGCTCTATCTAATGAGAGAATTTAATATCAGCATACCCTGCGTGGTAGCATGGCTGCGTTATTTCAGGAGAGAATTTGATACAAATTTTGCACAGGGGAGAGATAATGATCCGCTAGGGGACGGCTCTGATTGGCTAATTTTGTCTCTTATTTATTAATTTTTTTGTTATTTTTGGCTAATTTTGTTTTATTTTAGAATTAATGATAGGGTTAGGGTTAGGGTTAACTGATTTCTATATCCACAACTTATTTCTATATTCACTATCTCTCCCCTGAGACCTACTAATTTGATACCTGCTTACCTCAGTGCAGTAGCACGGTGGCTCCATCTGTTGAGACAGATTGTTGTGAACACATTGATGTCTGTAGTGTTTCATCACTTGCATGCTTGTTATCATTTCTGCATGACATGGCTTGTGTTGCCGCATCCTCCAGTGCGTGTGTAGACTCCATAAAGGTGTTGTTACTGCTAGTGCTGCTGTTACTGCTGCTGCTGCTGCTGCTGCTGCTGCTGCTGCTGCTGCTGTCTGCTGCTGCTGCTGCTGCTGCTGCTACTGTTGCTGCTGCTGCTGCTGGGCTATCTAGTGCTTGCTTGCTGCTGCTGCTGCTGCTCCATAACTATGCTGCTGCTACTACTACTTTTGCTGCTGCTGCTACCTACTGCTGCTGCTGGCTGGCTGTTGCTAGCATCTGCTGCTGGCTGGCTGCTGCCTGCTGCTACTACATACTGCTGCTGCTGCTGCTGCTACTACTGCTGTTTTTTATTTTTTTTGGCTGCTGCTACTACTACTACTGCTGCTGCTGCTGCTGCTCACTACTACTACTGCTGCTCCTGCTATTGGTGCTATCTGCTGCTGCTACTACTACTGCTGCTGCTGCTTGCTCTACTATTGCTGGCTGCTGCTGTTGGGCTACATCTGGCTAGCAGACTACTGGGCTGCTACTACTACTACTGTGGCTGCTGCTGCTGCTTGCTACTACTACCTACTGGCTGCTACTGGCTACTACTACTGCTGCTGGCTACTACTACTGCGGCTGCTGGCTGCTGCTAACTACTCGCTGGCTTGCTGTTGCTACATCTGCTACAACTACTGCTGCTACTACTGCTGCTGCTGCTGCTGCTGCTACTACTCCGCCTACTGCTGCTGGCTGCTACTACGGCTGCTGCTGCTGTTGCTACATCTGGCTTACAACTACTGCAGCCAATGGTAATCGCTTGTCTATTGTTTTTACGGCCCCTGGCAGACAAATGAAAGCATCTTCTCCCCTGCATGAACATCGTTAGCAACCGCTAACATCACTGCATGCTGATTGGATAGTGATGCTGCGCGGCTGACAACAGTCTCGCCAATCGTGGCCGTAGTTTGTGATCTGTGACTCGTAGGGATAGACAATCGTAGCCGGTAGTTATTGTGATTGTGTGATCGTAGCTACCCATGTGAGTGGCGAGGGTGCTGACGCTAGAAGGGGGCCGCCATGTTGGGCTGGAATGAATATCATTGGGCTGACGGGGGTGGCCGCCGTGCGTGATGACCGCTGAGCCGAACAGCAAGCAGGGTTCGGTGGACGGGATGGTAGCGCACCCTGGTGTGAAGTCACTGCTACTAACAGTTTACAGCTAGTTGCTAGCGATCGTGATTGGTGAAGGGCCGAGAGAAGCTATGGTCTGGCTAAAAAAAAATCAGCGACATCGTTACTGTGAGCAGTTTGGTTGCTTGTGGTTGTAGAGTGTTGCGCGGTGTTGTGACTGTTGTTCGGTTGTAGTCTGGAGAAAGGTTGCACAGTGTGTTCTGATGGTTATTTGTTGTTGATTGTTTGAGAGTTGTGTAGTGTTGTGGAACGTTTGTGTGTTGTGGTTGAAGAGCGTTGCAGGGCGGGGGCGCGGGCGTGTGTGTGGTGGACGGGTTGTTGGCTTGTGGTTGGAGAGAGTTGCACCTGTGTGTTTGTGATGGCAGGTCGTGGTCGTTGCATGCACGAGAGGCGGGTTAGGCCCAAAACAAATATAGGTGTGGTTAGGTTTCCCAGACCCAGAGACCCTATTTATTTCCAGCAACCCCTAAACATTTTCTTGGTCAATTTTCTTTAAAGTCAAAAAAAACAAATTTTAAAACACCATTTAAAAAAAAGACAGAAAGTTGTGTGTGACCGTTACATGCGGAAAAATAGGGTAGGTAGGTAGGGTAATCATTTTATTTTCTTGAAATATTTTTTTACGAAACCATGTCGCGAAGGATGTGGCGTTGTGTCCTTTTGAAGCAGGAACTGTCAATTCATATTTTTTATTATTATTATTATTTTTTTTACTTTAAAGAAAATTGACAATAAAATGTTCTTAGTGTCGGCTGGAATAATCGGGTTGGTCGGGAAACCGTAAGCACACCTAATATTTTTGTTTTGTCCTTCGAACTTTACCACTAACATTACTACACAAAAACTTGTCTCCGGGTATCATGTTAAATTCGTTATTTACTTTTCTTCTAGCTTCTACTGTGCCGGTTAGTTGCCTGCAGCAACACGGTAATACGAACCCTTGGGCATCTGTATTGCAGTTATTCCTGAAGCCTATACTTTGATGTTCATAGAGTACATTCTGGGGACATTTGTAGCACATTGCGGTGTTTCGCTGCACCGATACTAGTCTTGATTATTGCTTCTAGAACTCGCATTGACCATTTTTTTTTTGTTTTTTTTGTTTTGACTGACCTTGGTTGCCACCTCTAACACAATTATAGTGATCAGTTATAGAGTTAAATTGCCTAATAAAGGCGTCACATTGTATTACCGCTAGTACACGTGGCGTGCACGCTACGCACACTACAGCTGGTTGTGGCTGCCTGGATGGATGGCAATGTGAATGGAATGATGAATGGAGTAGGCATTGAATCTTTACGTGTTTCTATGTACCCATGCCCGCCTAGTGGCTATTCTAAACACATGCGTCATGACAGCAGATGAGCACGGACATTTGGCGAGAAAGAGCTGCAGCTGGAATGCCGATCAGGCGCACAATCGAAGAGGCACTTCAAGCCTTTGTTTATTTATGTTTATTCCTCTGCTGCAATTCCATGAATGCACAAGCGATCTAATCAGAAGTACAATAGTGACATAGTCGTTGTTCATAATAACTGTCTATCAGCTGTTATTTCCATCTGTGAAGCTAAATAGTAATGACATGGTGGGTAGCTACTATATTTTGAGGCAGCATAGTTTATCAGCGTTAGTTGTCATTTTGGCGTAAAAAACATTCGAGTTGTTCGGAAATGCGCATGCCGCGCGTAGATTGCGGTTTCTGCAATGTTCAGTGCAGGCGTATAACTAAACTTAAGATATCTACAAAATTAAAATATTATATACAAAATTGTGTAGATTAATTACCTAATATTATAGCGAGTATTTTGTAGCGTGAATATATTATATTCGTAGGCCTATTGACGTTTTTTGTGTGCGTATATATGCAGTAAAGAATTGTTAATTTTGGATTTAAAAAAAAACGACTAAATTGTAGCGGTTTTAATGACATGACGTGGACATAATATATATCATCAAGAGTAGCATACTAGACATCTTCTATTTATTGTAGCTATTGATATACGACATTATATATAAGACACAGATTATGCGTATACGCTTAATATATAAGCTCATATAAAATTTGATGCATGTCTGCATCGATTGACTTAGGCTGAGGCTTCCTTGTGCAGCACTACATGCACAGTGGCGGCTGCCCGGGGGGCACAGGGGCTGGGTCCCCCCTAGAATTCTTTAGGGCAGAGGGTATTTAAACCTACACCCTCCCCTCGGGTGCGCTTCCGGCCTTTGAGCTCGCACGATGTCAACCCCCACCGCTTCCTAGAATTCCCTTCTGGGATCTGCCACTGCGTAGGATACATACGAGTGAGGGGGGGGGGGGGTTGTGCGTGCGCACGCGCGCGCGCGTTTGTGTGTGTGACTTTCGCCTCCCTTGTGTGTGTGATGCTTTAGTTAGTAGTGACTGATACTGACCTTCTAGCCACGTCAGCCGCAGGCGTTACTGCGGTGTTTGACGCGCGCGCATACCATGGCAACAGTAGACTCGCCTGACACGGATGGCACGTTTGTGTGGCAAGTGGCGCCCTCGTCAGTAGTGGGCATGGCACTTTAATGACGTCCTGCTAGTAATAGATAGTCCTCTTTTCACATCACTACTTTCTCTCTCTGCTCTCTCTCTGCTCTCTCTGCTCCTGGCTGCTCTCTCTCTTTCTCTCCCCTCTCTCTCGTTCTCTCTCTCACTCACTCTCTCTCTCCCTCACTGTCTCTCTCTCTCTTTTCTCTTCTCTTCTGTCTCTCTCTCTTTCTTCTCTTTCTCTCTCTCTCACTCTGTCTCTCGCATCTTTTTCTCTCGCTCTGTCTCCTCTCTCTTCTCTCTGTCTCTCTCTTTCTCTTCTCATTCTGTCTCTCTGCTGTCTTTCTCGTCTCCCTTATCCTCTCTCTCTCTTCTGCTGCACTCTCTGCAACTATCTCTTCGGGCTTTCTCTTTCTCTCATTTCACTTTCCTTCTTCTGCTTTCTCTCTCTCTCTCTCTCTCTCTCTCTCTCTCTCTCTCTCTCTCTCCTCTCTTCTCTCTGCTCCTCTGTCCTCTTTCTCTCTTCTCTCTTCTCTCGCTCTGTCTCGCTCTCTCGTCTACTCACTTCTTCGTTGCTCTTTTTCTCTCTCTCTCTCTCTCTCTCTGCTCTCTCACGTCTTCACTATCTGTCTCTTTTCTTTCTACTCTCTCTCTCTCTCTCTCTCTCTCTCTCTCTCTCTCTCTCTCTCTCTTTCTCTCTCTCTCTTCTGTCTGCTCGCTCTCTTTCTCTGCGCTCTGTCTTGCAATTCTCTTCTCGCTCTCTCGCTCTGTCTTGGCTCTCTCTCTCGCTGCTCACCTCTCTCTCTCTCTGTCTCCTTCTCTCAACTCTCTCTCTCCTCTCTCTCTCTCTCTCTGCTCTCTCGTCTTTCTTTCTCTCCTCTATCGTCGCTCTTGCTCTCTCACTCAGCTTCACTCTCACTCTCACTCTTGCACTCTGCATCTCTCACTTTCTCACTCTCACTCTCACTCTGCACTCTCTTTCTCGCTCTCTCACTCACTCTCTCATTCACTTTCTCTCTCTCTCTCCGTTCTCTCCCCCTCTTATTTCTTCTTTTCACCTCTTCTCCGTGAATAGCATACTGTGGTGTGTGTGTGTGTGCTGTGTGTGTGTGTGTGTGTGCCGTGTGTGCGTGCGTGCGTGGCGTGCGTGCGTGGTCGTGGTGCGTGCGTGCGTGCGTGCGTTTCGTGGCGTGGCGTGCGTGCGTGCGTGTGTGTGCACGCGCGCGCGTGCGTGGTGTGTGTATGTGTGTGCATTCATGGCGTGTGTGCAAGTGGGCATGCATTCATGCGTGGTATGCGAGTGCGTGTCTGCGCTGTGTGTGTGCGAGTGCGTGCGTGGCATGCATGGCGTGTGGTGGCAAGTGCGTGCCGTGTGCAAGTGCTTGTGCGAGTGCGTGCCGTGCGTGTGTGTGCGAGTGGTGCGTGCGTGGTGTGTTTGAGCGTCTGTGCGCTGCGAGTGCGAGTGTGTGCGTCACGCGTGTGTGGCGAGGTGTGTGGCGTGCAAGCGTGCGTGCGAGTTGTGTGCGGTGCGTGCGTGCGTGGCGAGTTAGATTCCAGTCCATATGTCAATACGCATTTCTTTTGTCCATTTGAGGCTGAGGGTATGTGGCAGTCTGCCCTGGACGGCCGTCAGGAACTGCGCGTAAGGACACTTACTAGTACACTGAGAGCCGACAGTACAGAGACACGCTAGAGCAGAAAGAGGAGAGAGATGAGAGAGAGAGACGGTTGCGCGCAGGCCAGCGAGTGGAGAAGCAAATCAGGGCAACAGCCGGCATGGCAGCAGCTAGCAGCAGAGAAGAAGGCGCGGGGGAGAACGGAATGTCCATCCTTATTAGCCCATCTCCTGGACCGCGCCCACATTGCCTAGAGCGATGCGCCGCACGTTTCCTAGACGACGCAGGCCACGTTGGCCTAGACGACGCCATGCTGAGCTGCCCACGTTGGCCTAGACGACGCAATGCTGTCGGCGCCAAGGCGCGCGAAGACCAGTCAAGGACGAGGTGACGATGGCCGTTGCCGTGGTAAACGCGCGTCATGTTGACTGATGCGACGGTATGGGTGGCGCCGTGAGAAATACGCTGTACCCTAGGACGGACCACCGCGTGCGCCCTGGGAAACGCTAAGAGATAAAAGAAAAAAAAACAGTTTGCGTATCAGTGAAACGGTGGCTCGCAAGGCCGTACGTCTGTAAGCGTGACGCGATGAGAATGCGATGCAATGCAGGAGGCTGACAAGAGACAGCGAGAGAGCGGGGGATGAGGAGAGAGAGAGAGAAGAGAAGAGATGGAGAAGGAAGAGTCTATCTCTGTAGAAAGCTCGCGTGCTGCTTCGCTTGAAACGCCCTGTTCGCTAGCTGCAGCCGCGGCTCCTCCCGGTCCCGCGCGCGTGTGCGCAACCGACCCTGGATGCAGCGTTAAGATGCCGCCCACCACCATCACTATGGTGACTCCACCGTCGCCCGAGTCTGCCCGTCGCGCATGCTTTGGTCTCGCGCACGCGTGATGTCACATGCGCCCCTGCGATCCCAACACTCCGGCCCTGCGATCCTCCATTGTGAAGGCATCCGATACCGGAAATATTTTGACGGGTTTTGTCTTGTAGTTATGCGTGTAGGGAGAGTGGGCGGATTGCTGGTTAGAGACGTATGGCTAGATGCGAGCATGAATAGGTTGTTAGTGGAAGTTAAGGGGGTGGTTAGACGGTTAGGGGGCATGATGAGATGGTTAAGGGGGTGGTTAGATGGTTAGGGGGCACGGTGAGATGGTTAGGGGATGGTTAGATGGTTAGGGGCACGGTGAGATGGTTAAGGGGGTAGTTAGATGTTAGCGGTGGTTAGATTGTTAGGGCATGGTGAGATGGTTAAGGTGGTGGTTAGATGGTTAAGGGGGGGGAGGTTGATGGTTTAGGGGCATGGTGAGATGGTTAAGGCGTGTGGTTCAGATGGTTAAGGGGGGTTAGATGCGTTAGGGGGCAGCGCTGAGAAAGGTTATAGGGAGGGGTAGATGGTTAGGGGGGGGGGGTAGATGGTTAGGGGGCATGGTGAGATGGTTAAGGGAGGCGTTATAGATGGTTAGGGGCACAGTGAGATTTTGGTTAGGGCATGGTGAGATGGTTAAACGGGGTGAGATGGTTAGGGGGCACGGTGAGATGTTAAGGGGGTGGTTAGATGGTTAGGGGGCACGGTGAGATGGTTAAGGGGGTGGTTAGATGGTTAGGGGGCACGGTGAGATGGTTAGGGGATGGTTAGCA